ACAGACTTTTTGAGTTACAGACTTCTCTGGCCGCAAAATTTAGGTTTGACTTGCAGACTGAGATTTGACTTACAGACCAGAAAAAAACCAAAATGGAACAAAAACGGCCTGTTACGGGATTAATCGGTTTTCAATGCACTGTAGGTCAATGGAGACTTGACTTACAGACTTTTTGACTTGAGAACCGCCTTCCAATACGGATTAAGTTCTCAAGTCAAGACCCCACTATACAGCTTTTCCCACTCGTTTGTTGACTATGAGGGCTACTCCACTTTTTCAACGGGATTCTTGCCCACAATAGTAGATATGATAATCGTCTGAATTAAATTTGCCCATTCCCATCCATTTTAGTTCACTGACGCCAGGATGTCACTGTTGATTCTCACCATCTCCTGTTTGATCACATCCAGCTTACCAAGGTTCATAGATCTGAACTGGAGCACCAGGTTCCTATGCAGTATTTATCTTTGCAGCATCGGACTTTCCTTTCACTTCCGGGCACATCCACAGCTGAGCGTCCTTTCGGCTTTGGACCAACCACTTAATTAGCTCTGGAGCTACTTGTTCTTGTCCTCCGCTCTTCCTCAGTAGCATGTTGGACGCCTTCCAACCTGAGGGGCTCATCTTCCAGTGTCATATCTTTTAGTCTTTTGTTTCTGTTCATGGGGTTTTCTTGGCAAAGATACTGGAGTGGCTTGCCATTTCCTGCTCCAGGTGGATCGCATTTAGTCAGAACGCTCCACTGTGACCTGTCCGTCTTGGGTTTCCCTGCATGGCATAGCCCATAGCTTCTCTGAATTACTCAAGGCCCTTCGCCACAACAAGGCAGCAATCCGTGAAGGGGCAATCCGTGAAGGGGATTTCTCCTAATTTCTTTAGGAGGTTTTAATTCTTCTGCCACTTGGACCTAGAAGGCAATGTCTTTATCTGCCAGTCTATATAATACCTGTGATTTCACGTGAAAATGCTATGAACTGTAAAAGAAAATAACATTAGAATCCTCATATTAATTATAATATTTTATACCCTCTCAAAGATGACCTGATATTGTCTCTTCATGAGTCTTTGCATGACAAGAACTATGCCATCAACTTTTTTATGTAGACATAAAAATGAGGCAGTCCCAAAACCAGCAAAATCAGGGAGCTGGACAGGGGAAATCTACTTCCCCTGTTTCTGATCTAAATATGCTGTTGTTACCAAAGAGGAAGGCTTTGTTTGCTTACAAATTATAAATCACAGGTTCCTTCGTAGTCTCACATGTCTTCTGGTCTCCCACCCCAACCTCTCCTGTGAACGAAGGATGGGAGTGGCATAAAGGACAACATTCAAAGCAACATGAAAGCATAGATAAACACCTTCCCCTTTCAATTCCACTATTCTTAATGTCTAAATTTTAATAAAGTGATAATTCTCCTTCTCCTAAGGAAGCTATCAGTATATTTCTCAATAAGAAAAAGGTAGAGCCAATGTTTTCCTCTTTTGTAACTTGGAATCAGTGGCTAGCCTATGACTTTTCTCTACATCATGAATGGTCATATCTTTATTCTCCAACCAATAGGCTATGACATTTCATTGGTTCTGTTGGGGTCAATAATAAAGGTATCATAAACAATCAGTGTGGGTTGCAGTTAAGACTTAAATAACCTGAAAGCGAACTGTAATGTTAGCCTGTGAACAACTTCTCTAAAAATATTTACAGCACACAGGGTTCTAAAATGGGCAGCCTATTTCATCCTGTGGGTTACCTTCCATTTCCAAAAAGCCACATTCCAGTGATGGGGTAAGGATGGTACCAAAATTATCTAAGTATGTACCTATGTTAGTGTACAGTTGTTAGTGCCAGTAAGTAAGCCCTTAGAAGAAGCATTGTGGCGTCCGCCCAGGTCATGAATATTAATGTGATATCTGCATAGACCAATGGGAGTGCTGGAAGGGTGGAGTCACAAGATGTAAGAGACTCAGTAGTAGGAGGGGGAGTTTTAGTTAGAGAGAGTCAGGGAGTTTTGGGAGTTTGGGCGGGAGAGTGGTGGTTGAGAGTGGATGAAGGAGGATGTTAAGAGTTAACAACATTGCTTGAGCTATCATCATCTGTAACAATAAAATTTTTTTATTTGGTTCTTTTACAAATGACACCTTGCCTGGACCTCTATTATTAATATTAAAAAATCTTGATGTAATCAGCTGGTGGCAGCTGAATGCTCTTGAGCTCTTAGTTTGGTGAAACAATCAAGGGGCCATGTAGCTTGAGCTCTTAGTTTGGTGAAACAATAAAAGGGCCACGTGGGATCGTGACAAGCATTCTCAGTCTTGGAGGTGGGGAGAGAACTACTCCGTGCAAAAATTAAAGATCCATATTTCATAATTGCCAGTATCTAAATGGTCACAGTTTGAGTAGTAGCTTTACTACTGTGTGCCAAAAGCCATTCCATTTCTGCACTAGTTTGTCTATTCTTTCAAAACAGGGTATTTTGAACACAGACCCCACCCCACCCCACCCCACCTCACTCCAGACACATACACACACACACACACGCGTTTAAATAATCACATGGGAGAAAGTTTGGAAGATCTCTGAAACGGTGCTCCAGTTCATACCACAATGCTATTTGTATTGCCACAAGCAGTTGAGAGATCCTCCTAGACAGACATGTTCTTTTGCATTGTAATTGCTTCCATTGGTTCAAGAGGGGCAACTAATTTTAAATTATCAGAATTAGTTGCCCATCTTGAAACAAATCATCTGGATTTGTCACAAAACCCAAACAGATGGACAAGCATGAGCAGTATGTCATTTTTTCCCCTAAAGATGAAGTTTCTGTCAGTTGCCATATTCATACATTTGGCAAAATAATTAAAGTCCCATGGAAGGGCTTTCCCAAGAGTGCCCCTTTCTGAGAAGGTGAAAAATCACTGCACCTGCAAAACTCAGTTTCAAAAAGGATTTTTTGACCATACTGAGATTCCATACTTCTTAAAACTAGAAATTTAAAACTGACTACGGCATCCTTCTGTGTTGTCAAATTAGGATAGGAACACAATGCACACCATTATTATGACTTCAGTCTTTTTTGGAGGGATTCAGTCAGAAGGTGATGAATGCCTGTCCCACTAACCATGACAGTTGCCTTTCTAATGCTTCAGATTTCCTTTTCCTCTATGCTTTTTTAACAGCATGCATGTGAAGTAACTCGTAGGTTTACACTTGTTCCACATTTCTATTTCATTTCTTTACACGAGGCTGCAAGAACCCTGAACATGTTTCTGGAGGCAGTTTGGGAATGAATGAAGGGAAACAAGTAGACAAAATGGAAATACAGTGGAAGTACTTAATTTAGACAAAATGGAAGCACTGGGAGTGGGAAGTCTGTTGTGGATGGTAGTATGACAGCAATGCTGGATAGGACTGCTCTTCCCCAAAGGACCAAGTATATAACTTGGAGCTTCCGAAAAACAAACAAGGAAACAATGTTATGTGGTCCTTACACAATAGTAAAGCAAGGCCAGGTGATCCCTTTGTTTTATTCTATTTTATTATTATCATTATGTTTAAGAAATCTAATAAAGCTATCGCCTGCCCTACTTTTGTACTCTGAGTTCCACTTTCTCAGTGCTATATGTGGTAGTGCAAGTATTCTCAGTTACTAAGGACACCTTTTACTGCTTTAGGAAAATTTGCTAGCATCATGTATTGGTTTCCTGTTGGTTAAAAGGCAGCATGAAAACCCTGCAGTTCAAAGCAGTTAATTGTAAAACATAGGGATACACTGAGTGTTTTCCTAATATAAAGTAAAATAAAGCAAAGCACTTTGCATGGCCAGAGCATAATAACCCTCCCCACTGTCTGCTTTCTCCTACTGTATGTGGAGGTCCAGTTAGTCTCTGCTTTGCCATATGGATTAATAGGGCATAGTACAATAACTGCCAAGTTTCTGATCGACCAGTCTGGCATTTATGCCCTCACTTCATTAAAAGGTACCTTCAGAAAAGGCAAGAGAACCAGTGGCCCTTGATTTGCAAGGTTCAAGTGATGGTTTTTGTGTTTTTGTTTTTAGTGAACATCCTCTTAGTCAGCTGGTCTCTGACTCAGATTCCGAGATGGACAGCACCGAGCAGCTGGCCCTGGGCAGCACGGACACTCTCTCCAATGGCCACAAAGCTGATCTGGAGGCTGCTAAACGCCTGGCAAAGAGGCTCTACAACCTGGATGGTTTCAAAAAGGCAGATGTGGCCCGCCACCTGGGGAAGAAGTACGTGTGGGTATTAGGAGAAAAGATTATTCACCCAGGGCTCCCTTAGGGAATGCAGCAGCCTGCTACACTCATATAGAACTATGCTGAGGAGAAGGTTTTATGGAGGATGAGAGAACAGATAAGACACAAGACTTCAGGCAGGAATAATGAGTACAGCTAGCTTGCCTTTATCAGACACTCTTCGGGTGGCAGTGTCTTCGATGTGGCCCACATACCTTATGCCCAGGGGATGGTCTATGCTGTAGGATGACAGGAACATTCATACTAAGCACGTGTGCCTTCACTCCTAGTGCATATTGCCACTGGGGAATAAAACTCTCTCACTAGAGATTCAAGCCTGGAAAGGAGTGTGTGGTAAAGTCCTTCATCAAAGATTGTAGCTGCCCATACTGTCCTTACATGTATTCTGCTTTAAGTCTTATCTTTCTCTTCCTTGCTGTAGTATTTATTTACAGTTGTTTATCTTCAGTTGTTTATTCCGCTCTCATGTAATACAATTTTTAAAATATGTTTTTTTCCTTTCTAGTAATGACTTTAGTAAGATGGTAGCAGGGGAGTACCTCAAGTTCTTTGAATTCACTGGAATGAGTCTGGATCAAGCACTTAGGTGAGTGTCCTGGGAGGGACATGGACATGGACATTCTCTAGAAATGTTGAAGACAGAATGAGAAACTGTATTTAACAGGATTTTTGTGGGAAATTATGTCCGCTAGGCAATTGTGTCCAAGACGACTAGCATTTACACTTTGGGGGTATTACAACTTGTGTGTTTTTCATTAACTTTACCTGGAGCACACTAGCATTGTTCAGAACTGCCAAAATGGGATGAAAGGATCTAGAAATTGGTAGACCACAAAACATGAATGATGAGCTCCCTTTCAGCTTGTGAGAGGGGTTAGAGAGACAAGTTGTGAAAGTTTTACATCAGGATGGGCAAAGTGCAGCCCTGGGGGCACACACATGCCCTAGCTTCCTTTTTGCAGCCCCAGCCCCCTAGTCCAAAAAAGGTGAAGCCTCCAGAAGGGTACAATATTTAATTCCCTCATGTATGCTTATTGGTTTTCACATTTTTGGTGTTCTTCTTTGGCCTCTGAATTCAGGAAGCTAAAACTGGCCCTACCAAAGCTGGCCACTCCTTTCTTAGACTTAAGACTCTTTTTGCTTCTTTTTAGAAGTAACAGAGTCACCATAAGTTACTCATACGTTGAAAGGTATGTTTACACCTCGTAACAAGCCACCTGGTACTTAAACAGTTAATCAGAGTTGTGTGTTTGTGTTTTATTTAAAAGCAGTTATACCACTCAATGCACTTCAGATTCTGATGATGGTCAGACTGTCATAGGCACCTACTAGGTAATGCTCATGACATCATTGATGGCACAGAATTTATTTCCTCTCTTCTTCTTTACTTGCAGTTTTAAAAACTCTTTCAAAAAGAGTTTGCAACAGTTTGTGGAGGTGTGCTTTTTAATTGTGAGGTGTTTTAAGAGGATAAATTGTATACCTGATTCAGGATAAAGAAGGCTAGACCCTAACCATATTAGTAGACGTGTGGCATGGGATACAAATTGGCTCAGAACAAAGAGAAAGAGTATTGGAGAGAGTGTTTAATCCTTCTTTCCTCTGCACACTATTTCCTAGTCAAAATCAAACCCACTCCAACTTAACACTACCCTTCCTGGAGAGAAACAAAGATGCTTTTATCATGCTTTTTCTAACGTCCAAACAAGGAGTGATGATTGCAGGTGTTTTCAGTCTGGTAAAATGGTGCATGGTAAGAGGGTTGGGAACCATTCCACCCACCATCCAGTATTGACCTACACCATTTTAGGGGAGAAAACCTGATTACGCAACCTTCCTGTGTTAACCTATCACTTCTCTGTTTTCCCCCTTCTCGCAAGAGACAACCCGTTGAGGGGAGAATGATGGAATTGCTGCAGAGTACCTTTGATGCATCCTGAGAAGGAATACAGTCTGTCACATCCTCATTCCCTTGCTGCCTTTGCCCATGGTTTTCTTCTGCCTCCTGTCAGATAGAATTAGAATTCTGCATATAATGGGGAGTAGGAGAGGAGAAGGGATTGGGGCACAATTTGTTTGGTTCACATTTTAATATGGACCATCCATATACCTTGAACTAAAACACAAACTGGAATGCAGTTATGCTTCAGGTTTGGACTTCTCTGAATTTTGTAATACCGTTCTCAGAGCAAAAAAATGTATGCTGAAATATATACCAATATTTGTAGGTTAGAGAAAGTAACATTAAAAAATCAAATATATCATGGGAAGGCACTTGCAAAAACATTCCATGAAGGTTAATTGCTTATGATTTTTATTTATGCAAGTGGGTGACAAGGATGCACATTTTAGTAATGGACTTTTTAAAAACTGCAAATAATATAAAAATGGAATGGAACAAATGTGTGCTTTAAAAAACATGAACATGGTGAAATGTAGAGCAGATGTATTCATTGTGGGAAAAGGATGGGGAAAGGTCTGGCGAGCCAATATCTTTTCTTGCCCGACACAATAAAACAGCTGAACTGGAGAATACGGGTGGGGGGTGTTCCATAACAAATCTCTATAATTTCCTGTGCATATCCACAGAGTGCAAGATTAAAATACTAGTCCTTTAGGATGCCATAGGACTCTTCAGCCGGATAGCCCAGAAACATCCATGTAGAGCTTCTTGTCTAGAAATGAAACTTTCTTTCAGGGCTTTGGGAAATTGTTCCTGTTTTGCTAATTTATTCACATCACTATTTCAACATGGGACTTATTCACTTAAATTACTTTACTGTGATCTTCACATCATCTCCCAGGAGAATAAAAGGGCAGGGGGAATCTTGCCAGGACTTTCCAAGCCAGGCTTTGCTTTGCCCTTAGCTGAGAGAGAGAGAGTTTCCTATTGGCTTTGCTCACCGCTCCAAAGTGTCTGCTAGCACAGCAGCTTCCCTGCATCTATTCAGGTGATCACATACCTGAACCAGTCTCTTTTTTTTAAAGGAGAAGCCCTAGTAGCAAAGGGGAAAACACTTCAGATTGGGGGTGGGGACTCTGGGATGATTCACGTTTTCATTTGCATCGTGTGATCAATGGGGAAAAATTGCAAATCAGACCATCCCAATGCCATGTTATTTTCCACATTTTTCCAGTGTAGTTATACCTGAGACTAAACCAATTTAGGGAAAGTAAGCATGGCTGTGCTTTCTTTCTCTCTTTCTGCTGTAGTCTAATCTCTAAACACTATGTGAAAGTTGGGCGAGATCCAGATTATGTTATTAACACTTGAGCCTCATTTGAAATTAATGGGAAATAATGGCTAACTTACCTCATTTATTTTTTACAATGGGACTGAAGCATAACAAATCTATCATGAAACCAAGCTAATTTCTTTGGTGTGAAGAAATAGGTACAGCATATTTCATTAAAACTGTTATAATCCCCGTTTTCTCAAACTAAGTTCAAACCTACTAACAATAAAAGAATTTTAACAATTACTGAAGTGGTACATTATTCAATTACTGAATAATGTAACATATTAAAAACAGCAAAATCCAGAACTGAAAAGCAAAAAAGGTCAGGTAGCCATTAAAATGTTTTAACAGAACATTTTTTTTGTAAGTTAGAACAATGCAGTGAGAGCAAGTGAGAGCCTGCTGACTTCAGAAGTTCATAATTCAGTGCAGGAAAATAATGATAATAACAGGTTACAAAATGAGATACGATAGAGTGGCAAAATTAGTTCACTAGTCATTATACAAAAAAAATATAACTTGCCAGCCTCCAAAAACCCATGGGAACATTAGGTGGAAAAGGTTCAGAAAATGATGAAGTCAATATCTTTTGGGATTTTTGATCCAAACTGATAGACACCTTGAACATAACACACCAGACATAGTAGTAATAGAATGAAGAAATTTCTGGATAATTGACATTGCAATTCCAGAATATGCCAGAGCTGAAAATAAAGAATTGGAAAAACTAACAAAATACAGAGACGTGGCAATCGAAATATCTCACTGGTGGATTAAACACACTTTAGTGGTCCCTGTAGTTATTGGGGCTTTGGGGGGGGGAAACAAGAAATTTCACTCAGTATTTATTATAAGCAGTTGCAGATTTCAGAAATAATATAATCAGAACTACAAAAACAGGATTATTAGGAATATGTAGCATATACTGTATACAGTGGTGCCTCACTTAATGAGCACCCCATTTAACGAAAAAATCACATAGCGATTAGGTTTTTGCGATTGCAAAAGCGATAGCATAACGATGTTTTGAATGGGAAAAATCGCTTTGTGAGGGTCGGTAAGCTGTTTCGCTTACCGATTTTCACATAGCGATTTTTTCCAACAGCTGATCGGCAGTTCCAAAATGGC